TTGGAAATTTCAAGACCCTATCCCCTAATTTTATTCGTTTTTAAGAGAAATATTATTGCCTATTTTTATAGATTTTTTAAAGTCGATTTAGGCCAGAAAATACGANCGAATATGTATTTTTTGGAAATTTCAAGACCCTATCCCCTAATTTTATTCTTTTTTAAGAGAAATATTATTGCCTATTTTTATAGATTTTTTAAAGTCGATTTAGGCCAGAAAATACGCTTTTGAAGATTTATGAGTTTTTGAATGCCTATTTTTAATTCGATTTCAAAGATCGAATATGATCTGAGAAGAGGATATATAGGCCTTTAAAATGGTATATAATAATCTATTGTCGGACTCGGCTTATCGGGATTTTTCATCGGGTAAAAAAAAAAATAAAACATATTTCTCACAATTTTTTAAATTTTGACCATCGATAATGTCCACGGTAGTCTTGAAATTTCAAAAAAAAAACCCATTTTCGATGGGCACCCTAATGTACATCCATCTGTATTAGTTTGTTCTGCNAAAAAAAAAAAATAAAACATATTTCTCACAATTTTTTAAATTTTGACCATCGATAATGTCCACGGTAGTCTTGAAATTTCAAAAAAAACCCATTTTCGATGGGCACCCTAATGTACATCCATCTGTATTAGTTTGTTCTACTGGTGTTAAGTCAGCTACTCAAAATGATGAAGTGTAAATTAATTGAATATGTACATGCACACATACATATGTTTGTGGTACATTTAAATTAGCAGTAAATCGCTGGGCGGATGACTGAGGCACCACCACAACAAATATAATACAAGTGATACATATACGAATATAGTAAACATAGAGTGGCACAGAGTAAAAATTATGATGATACACGCATATAGTGTTTAGGTATTTGTTGTTGCAGAAATTGTTATTAATACATAAAAAGTACGCACTTGATTATTTTCTCTTACATATTTAACATGTGTGTATGTATGTATACATATATGTACTGAAGAATAATCGTGTACTGTATTGTGAAAAATGTACATACTTAGCCGTTAGAGAATCAAGCTGCTAAACCATTTTTGTTCACTTATTTTTAATAAAATTCCTCCAAATATGCCATATAAAAATGATTTTTTGTATAAATGCAATTCATAGGGCAATCGCAAAACAAACTTTCAAATAAAGACGGAAAATAAGATAAAAACAATCACAATTTGATACGCTTAAATACATTTGTTTCAATTGTAATTTTTATCAAATTTTACCCCCAGCGAGTGGGCACTTGAGAAAAAAATACATTTTCCCTTCGTGACAATAGACATAGATACATCATACTTTAAGATCCGATTGTAAATCCCGAAGATATGACGAAAATTTTAAAAAGACATTCGGTCAATAATAAATTCGAATTTGCTGTCGAATCCTTATATGTCCTTCGTTAGCAAAAGTTTAATTATTCTTGGCGAATTTTAATTTTCTGGACGTTAGGGTGTTGCGAAGTGAATGAACTATGGAGCAAAATAACTTTACATATAAAAAGGCCACAAGCTCAATAATTTCTTTTTGTTTAAACTTACAACTTAAAAATTGTAAAAACGCGACGCCTACGCCCACAAAAAAAAAATATTTCGAAATTTTTGACTTTTTTTCTGGTACGGTCTAATGTGTAGGCATGTTCAATACTTTTACTCGGGGACATATGGGCGAATCCAGCCGATTTGGCTGCTTTTTATGATATATACTGGTTATGTTAGCAGAAACATTTTTGCCAAAAATGGTCTCGTTAGGCGGCGCTAGGGATGAGATATTTTGAAAAGCCTTATTTATGCTCTGATTTGTTTCACATTTGGCATGTTTAGTTGAAATGTAGTAGGACATAGATTTGCAAAAAATAAAACCGCTGTTGGCGCTGATGTCAAAATAAAAAAAAAAACGCTCGACATAAAATGCATTTTTCTTTCCGTTAAAAATTCTTTCAAAAAAATATTAACAAAACTTTTTTAATGCATATTTTTGTAACGTAATGGGTAGGTTTGTAACGTAATGATAGGTAACGTCACGTCAGATAATTAACCTGATTAAACATAAAAGTGTAGTACATACAGATGTAGTACATACCTCGCACCACGGATGATTTTTGTCGGAAGAAATTCAAAGATTGATGCAAGTAATTTTCGTCATCCCTTTCAAATTTGGTCTGGCGGCAAAGCGGTTTTAGCGTTATAGCATGTGTAGTGTAATTTGTCTTAAAATAAGCTAATTTTCGGGACCCAACCAAACAGACAAACGAATGAGAGAGAGAGATACATGAGAAAACGAGCCTCATTTTCAATTCAAAAATGAGCAGAAACAGCTAGGATTAGGCCCAATTTTTCAAGTCGGTTAATGTAATCTATAATCAATCGCTTTGAAGAAAAAAAGTTGCTTACATTTTGCACAATGCTGTTACTTGCTCTCCTAGTAGAATTGAGAATGACAGTAGTCGTCATAGTAACACATAGTGTCACTCTGTGACAGTAGTAGTAGTGCAGGGTATTTAATAAGCGCGTGCTGAATTTAATTGAAATGGTACCAGCAACAACTATTTACTATGTATGCGTACTTTAAAAGTCAACAAAAACAACAACAACCATAATTCGGCATTTCAATAGAATCAAACGAAAAAATGTAAAAGGCATGAAAAAGTAATTTAAGTTGCTAAGAAAAAATGCTAAAACACACATTAAATAGCAATGCCATGTTGAAATGCGCTACGCATTTGAAAAAATATACATAGTATTTAGGTGACATCAAATCAACCAACCGTTAGATTGGAATCATCAAGTACACAAATAAATTACATAAATACATAGTTATTTGCCACATGCGTTGGTCGGTTGCTATTTGGCATTAAATTAAAAAAAAAAAGGCATTACTAAAAATTGTTTAAGTTCTCTGCTCGTACTTTCGTTTGTTTCTAGTAACATTCTAGAAGCATTTTTATTCGATTGCAATAAAATACACATGTGCTTCTACTTTTTTATGTTAAATTGCACTTTTTTTAAGTATAATCGTCTCACTGTTTTTCAGTCTCTCTATACGAATACTTTGTGGGTTTTCTCTCCCAAACGTTTAATTTCAGCTTTTTTTAATTTGAGCAAAAATTCAATATGTAGAGGCACATACATATGTAAGTACATATGACCGAATGTACTTATAAATGCATGTATGAATGTGTAAAAGTTAAAAAAAGTACATTTTTATTGTAAAAAAAAGCATATTAAAAAACTATTTCCGTTCATTTACCTTGATTTTGACCACTCATGGGCCAATAAACGCCGTTACGCCCCAAAAATTAACCGTTTTTAGCCAGAAAAAAAATAACAAAGCGTGCCATATGGAAGAAAATCGTGTATCTCTACTATTTAGAGGTTTGAGTATTTAATGTATTTGTGTGTGTATTGCTGATGAAATATTTTTGTTTATGGCGTCTGAGGCGTTTGGAAANTTTACATTTCTTCGTTGTTTACAATTTGGTGGTGGCTTTTTACTGCAATTTTCTTCATTTTCGCTTGTGACAACGTGTGTACACATAAGATAAAGAATAATTTAACACAACGGCATGATTTTTAGAAGAATTTGCATAATAAAAATGATTTTTCATGCGTTCAACAATTTCGCGGTTTTCTCCGTTCTCTTCGTTGTTTACTTCTTACAGCAAAGATGGCGTCGAGATTTCGGCAGCTAGAAAATAACTTTTTTCGTTCTTTCCGTCCGGCGTGATCTTGTGTCTTTCGTTCATGGCACGGATGTGTATTAAGTAAACCGCAATGGGCTTTCCAGATATTGACTACTGACGCACCTTTCGAGACGAACAGAAAATCCAGAGCACCGAAGACATTAACTTCCATGCAGCGGCTTTGTCGCTAGAATGAGGCGGCGATGGCCTCGAGCTAATTCGTCTCAACGGGTTGATAGTCGTCAACCTATTCTATATTGAAGGTCGAGCGAAAGACTATCTTAACTCGACAAACTAACCTCACTTGGTACTAACTCAGTTTTGTCAGGCAAGCTATCGTAACTCACGATACGCCTATTTTATTTATCGTCTACAAAAATAGGAGCGCTTAGTTAGTCAAAGTAAGAATAGTTCATCGAGTTACAGTAGTCTTTCGCATGGCGGTTAAGAGAGGATAGATTGACGGCGATCGACCAGTTCATACGCGTCACTGCTGCCTAGCCTAACCCTACTTTATTATATTTTTTACGCAATAAATGCTAAAGCACCGGTGTAGCTACCACATTTATAAAAAACCATATTACTATAAAAATAAGTATATAAAATATAACAACAAAAAACAGTCGAAGAAATCTATTTTACCTTCCTATTTAAACTTTTCTACAACACTTTCAACGCATAAATATGTATTTTAGCGTTGAAAGAATTTGCAAATTCTATTATATAGCATGCAAAAAAGATAATAAAGTTTTTTTAATTTGTTTATTCGCCAAAAAATTGTGCGTGTGTATATTTTGCACACACTCAATTACCCGATCGCTTACTCACTCTCTTCGTTTCTCCCTCTCTATTCAACCTTCTCTGTCCTCTCTTTCACAGCTTGTATATGAACGCATAACAGCTGTCTCTTTTTTGCATGCTTTTGTTTACGCAAAAGCCTGTTCCGGCCGGTTTTTGTTGACATATTTTTACCAACAGCTAAAATACGATTAAAAAAAGCAATAAACCAACGACTTCTACTACTTCAAAAATTATTTACACACATGCAAAAGCAAGCGAGAGAGTGACAACAAGTATTACTTGAAAAGAAGAAGAAGAAAAAACAACACACGAAAGCTGACTGACTCGCTGTTGTATACAACAGTTTTGTTGTTGGTTTGTTGCCTCTACTGCTTCGGGTTTGTTTATTTTTATACGTTTTTTCACCTATCTTTGCTTTGCTTTCATTTCGTGCTGCTTCTAGAATTTTTTATTGTACTAGGTACACTGAGAAGTCTTGCATACATTTATTCTTTTAAATGGTGTTCAAAAGAGCAGGCTGTTGGCAGTGAGCGAGTGAGTGAATGGATGAGCTGTTGATGAGAATGCAAGCGTGGCCTTTTAGGGCAACGCGTTGGTACCTAACTTTTGTTGTTGATATATATTTTTTGTTAATTTACACATTTTTCTTTCGCGATTAAGCATTTCCATGTGGCAGAGAGCTAAGGAAACCAGACGAACGGACAAAAATTTGTATGCATATACACATACATATGTATGAATGCATTCTAGAGACATTTCCTGCGACAATTCGATTGCGCATGGCTATGTAAAACCCAAAATTGTGCACTTCCACTTCCGTATTTAATGGAAATGTATGACAAGAAAATCAAAAAAATGTCAGAAAAAAATAGGTCAAAAATTAAAACGGATGAAATATGCAAAATACTATTTCCCGCAGCTGAACTGTGGTCAAAAAAGAAAATGTTGAGGAATTTATTGAATACACGAAAATATTGAACAATCTAGAATCTAGGTGTCTAGTAGCACACCTTTATCTACATACATATGTACATATGCACACGCAACAAATTTGTTAGCTGTCAAAGCATCTCAGGCAAAACTAACGATTCACGTACGCTCGATAGCCAGAACAATACTTAAAAAAAAGTTGTTCATGTTGCTCTTGTTTTTACAGTTGTTCTACACCGTATATGTATACCCAGCAGAAAAGCAACATAGGAACCAGCTATAGATATACACCGACACAATACGCGACGAATACAAAAAAAAAGTTTAAGTAAAAAAAGTTGAAGCGCAACAAAAAATATGTAGGACAAATGCGACGAGAAAACTAAAAAAACCAGTCAGCCGTCAGAGTTCTAAATCAAGTTGAGAAATCAGAGAGTGAGTAAGAGAACGGTTGCAATCCAAATACAAACAGAAATATGGAACACCAAATGGTTATTGAGTAATTAGAATTAAATGAAAGCTTTGTAAAATTGCATATGTATTTAGTGTCTCAAGGAAAAATAACAATAAAAAAACATCAAGCAGAAGAGAGAGCGGCTACATACATACATATGTATAGCCGCTTCCAAGTGAACGCCAACAGAACTTTAAACTAAAAGAGCACTCAAAAAAATTAGCGTGGCCAAACATTACTGCGTCCAAAAGTTGTCGAGGCGGCCGCGCGGGCTGTTGGCTAAGGAGCTTAGAAAACGTGACATCAACAAACGAGCAATCAACGAATGACATGTATATAGTACATTCACAGTGGTGTCCGCATAATCAGGGGCAATCTTCTTTACAAGTTCTAAGCATTTCGACAACTGAAAGGAAGATCGACCTATCTCGGCAGCCAGTTTAAAAACGCCCTCTCTCAGAAAACTTTTCAAGAACGCCCTACTTCAGAATTTGGTTCAAAAACGCCCTGTCTCAAATGAAAATATATCGAACATGTGCTGAGATTTGACGTTTTTGACCCGAATTCTGATATAGGTCGATTTTCCACTCAAGTGATTTATTTCCAATGAATTTTAAAACAATATATAGTTTATAACACAACGAAAATCAACTAACTCAAAGTTACAAACCTTGTACAAGATTTATAAAAATTGGCCAATTTTCTAAAAAAAAATATCAACAAAATCAGTTTTGTAGCCCACTCGATTTTAGGATAATCGGGAATGTGCTGCAAATCGTACAATTTGAATCGGCATCGCCGTGGGCAGGTACACATTTCGGCTGCCAATTCCAGTGAGTTGGAAATGCATAGAAAAATATGATTGCTTCAGCGGAAGCTTTGCATCCATGACGGTCAAGTGTTTGCCGATTCTGAGTTAAGGCCAGTATGCAGCTCTCAAGAAAACGGTCAAGCGAAAAATTGCCATTATTTCGTGTATGTAACTAAGGAATTTTGACATCTGATACATCACAGCCTGTTGCCTCACTCTTTCCTCAAGAAATAATGGTACGGGCATATATTTCTGTTGCAATCATGGGTTGCCTTGTGCAATTTTTTCACAAAAAAACTTTAGAAAACCGTAGTAGAAAGCGTAGCAAATTTCTTAGGAACTGCGTACTGCCTTAAGGAAATTTGACACCAGAAAATTTCTTAGCCATTTCTTGTACGTCATTTTATATGGAGTTTTTCTTTTCTTGAGAGCTGGCTACTAAGCTTTAGTACTAATTCGTCAATTCTGTTCCACAATTCTTACTTTACATTAATAGTAACCGAAGACTTTGAACTTTGTACCACAGGGGCCGCATATGCAGCAATTTTAAACGACTACCATCACTAAGTACTATGTTACACTGTGGAACTTCCGCATGGCCCACAGTGTTGATATTGCCCTTGGTGATTGAAGTTTATGTTTGCTTTCGTTATTTCAAGGAAATCAATTATTATTTCCTCATTACTTACTAACACTTTATATTTATTTATTATATTTTTTATTCCACTTCTTTATATAATTTTTTCGACTTTTGTAACACATTAGTGCGAACTTCTAGTGTTTACTATGCATTTACTATCAGTGNTCACTAAGTACTATGTTACACTGTGGAACTTCCGCATGGCCCACAGTGTTCATATTGCCCTCGGTGATTGAAGCTTATGTTTGCTTTCTTTATTTCAAGGAAATCAATTATTATTTCCTCATTACTTACTAACACTTTATATTTATTTGTTATATTTTTTATTCCACTTCTTTATATAATTTTTTCGACTTTTGTAACACATTAGTGCGAACTTCTGGTGTTTACTATGCATTTACTATCAGTAAAATCAAATAAAATATGTAAATTGGGCGCCGGTAACTTTACTATTGTTTGCATTATTAATTTAACACTTGATTTTTCATAGCAGGCGAGGTATTATTTGCCTGCCAAATTTATTTACATATTTATTTTTTTGTTTAGTAAGCAATTTAATTGGGAGCATTTTTTTATAATTGATTTACGTAGTGTTCCAATATATTTTGTTTCACATATCTATTATATATGTATATATCTATGTTTTTTAAAAGGGGATTTATAGACCTTTAGCGATCTATTGTTAAACTTAGTTTTTGGGAAGTTTTCATCGGTTAAACTTTAAAAAGCTCCTATTTTTCTTAATTTTTTTAACTTTGTCCATCGCTAATTTTAAAAATTTCTATGAAACTTGCCAAATTTGTAGTGTTTACCTAAAAGAACATTTATTTTCGAGTGAATTGATACCTCACCTAATGCAATTTCATAAAAATTGTCGAAGTTAAGCAATTTAAATAAAAATGTCATTGAATTTATTTGTGTGTATGTGCCGGACGTTCAGATTTTTCGAGCAGTGGGGCTAAGGAGGTCATCAATATTTACTCAAAATTTATATGTACAATGGCTCTTAAGCAAAAGTTATTTTTCAAACAATTTTAGGAACATGGGAGTGGCACCGCCCACTTATATGATATATGCGTATTGAACGATCTCAACCGAATTTAATGCACACTTTGTGCCTCCTTAAGCACCGTGTTGAATATTTTTTTATTCTCTATTTTTTAGTATGTTTACCCTTTAATCTTTACATTCTCAAGCTTTTATGATTTTTTTCTCTATTTCTTATTAGAGACTTTTGTTTATCAATTCGTCGGAATATATATTTTTTTATGCATCTTACCGCATAACGTGCCCGATTTCGATAATACTGTTATGGTCGGAAAGGTGATATCTGAAGAGTGGTCACGTACTAATTTGCTTTAGTTCCGATTATTGGATCATGGAGAAATTAACGGTAATCTTAAGTTCGGTTGTTTTTGTTGTTAAAAAATTACTGGTTTTTATTCTCTATTTTTATTACATTTATTCTAAATGTTTTATTATTTTAAAACTAAACTTTTTATTATTTCTATTCTCCATTTTTACTCTCAATTTTCATTAGTTTTATTCAAAGTTTTTTATTACTTCAATTCTCAATTTTTTTATTATTTTTATTATACATTTTTTATTATTTTACTTCTAAATTTTGGATTATTTTTATTCCAAATTTTTTATTATTTTTATTCTCAATTTCTTATTATTTTTATTCTAAATTTTTTATTGTTTTTATTCTCAATTTCTTATTAGTTTTATTATAAATTTTTGATTATTTTCATTCTAAATTTCTTATAACTTTTATTCCCAATTTTTATTATTTTTATTCGCAATTTTTTATTATTTTTATTCTAAATTTTTTATTATTTTTACCCTAAATTTTTTATTATTAAGGTCTTCAAAAAAAGGAGGAGGTTATCAATTCGTCGGAATACTTTATTTTACTTTTTTTACGTGTTACCGAATAACTTTGGACCACGTGAACCGATTTGCGTAATTCTTTTTTATGTTTGTAAAATACCAGGTAAATTCCTTTTTTTATCGGAAAGGTGGTACTTCAAGGGTGATCCCGTTCCAATTTGGTTTAGAAGTCAGTTGTGTTTTTTCTTAAAAATTACTTGTAGGTATTATCTATATTTTATTATTTTCCTTTTTTCTATTTATTATTATTATTTTTCTCTATTTTTTATTCGCACTTTTTAAATACTTTTATTCTCTATTTTTTTATTTTATTTATTTTTTATTGTTATTCTGTTTTTTTTTATTGTTTTATTATTTTTGTTTTCTATTTTTTGAATTAATTAACTTCGTAACTTAAATTTCAAAATTTGTGTACTTTTTTTGTTCTCTATGCTTTTGTTTTTATTTAATATATTTAAAAAATTTTGTTAAACGACTCCTGTATTTGAAAGGAATGTCCCTTTTCCAGTCCTTCTGGGGTAAAAAAAAAATAAAATAAAATTTATTTCATTGTTTTGCATATTTCACTTTTGGTTTTCGAATCATTCTAGGGGAAAATTTTATTATTCATATTTTCTTACTATTCTCATAGCACTAATTCCAGCAAAACTTAGAGGAATAATTTGAAAACCAGTGGGTCCATGGCTGAAGCTGAAGCTGTGTAATTAATCGATAATTCGATAATATCTGGTTTTGCTGTCAAAAACAAGTGTAAGATGTGTTCGAAGGCAGGAAGTAAGGAAGTAATTTAATATTTAATTCCCATCGCTTTAAAACTAAGTCAAGATAATCGAAAACTTTGGAAGCAATACTTTCTATGCAGCGCAGATAGAATAAGTAATAACGGAATTAAGCAACAATTGCTTGCTGCAGCCACTTGCAAATGCCCCGAAAGGCTACGTGAGGCCTTCGACAAATCATTGGCCCATATAAATAATCGGCAACTATGCACTAACAAGCGGCGCGTGAATAAGCAATTGAAAAAAGAACGACAAAAAGTAAACGAACTATTCCTATAGATGCTGCAGCAGTAACCTTCAGATTGTTTACGCCACTTTTAAAGTACGCACGGGTAGCAAAAGAAAACATATAGTACATAGCATGTACATATATGAAAAAAGTGCCAAAAAACTATGCACATATATACATATGTTAATACAAAACTACACACATTTGTATCTTCCAAAAACGACGAAAAACCTGCCGCGTTAAACGCTAATCTCCAACGCCAACGCAGATAAGAAAAGCTGGCAGTGGACAAAAAGGCAGCAGAAGGTGAAGAAGGAAAAAAAAACGAAACATATGCCAAGTAAAACATACCACATAGCTAACTACCCCACAATAAATGGTGGAAAATAAATATGTATGCATACTTACATACATGCAGACGAAACTAAATATTGTTACAAAAAAAAACCTACGCCAGAAACCAACCGCACGTGAGCACAATCTATGTATGTATGTCTTATGTGAAGCGGCAATAAAATTAGCCAACTTATGGTGGAAGAAGAGTGCGTCATAACATACAAACAAAATGAAAAATATATATATTTTAAAGTAAAAATATAGAAGAGGGCAACAAAAACTTGTGGAAATAAGGAATTAAGCAAGGCATGTCATGTGACCAACGGAAAGCAAAAAAAAAAAAAAACTTAATAAGGAAGGCGTACGTACGAACCACGAACGCAACAGGCCAAAAACGTTAGACGAGCGTTGACAGCAAGAAGTTTACATAAAAAAAAAAATGGTGTTTGGTAACTGTTTGCAGAGTTAAGCCGCATCGCCGACAAGCACACATGCAGCCGGTTAGCGAGCAGCGTTGCCGCGAGCTTGAAAAAAAAAGTATGAGTTGTCAAGCAAAAAAATATTAAAAAGTATCATAAGCAAAGACAGCTGTTATTTTTTTAACTTTTATTTAAAAACATATGATAAATAAAATTTTATAACTAAATGCATAGTTGTAAATACATTTTATATTACTTGCTTTAACGAAAACGGAGAATCTGTATGCATATTTGCATAACGAAAAACAAACTTATAGGA